GTCGCCGACTCCGTTCTGGCTTCGATCTACATCTATGCCAAATTTCAGCGAGTTCCATACAGTTGTTCCGAAGATGAAAAAAATGAAAAAAAAATAATTTATAATATTAAAATCCAAAAAACTTAAGTTTACATTGAAAAGTTAAGCTAAGAAACTTAATAAATACAAAAAAGTTGGGTATTACAAGTATTTACCAGTATCCTCGCACTAGGCGCAGCCTGTGTCGCGAGGATCCTGCTCTTAAGTTTTATCAGAGGTTCGTTAGACGGCAATCAATTAACTAAAATACAAATAATCAAGTGCCATTTGTTTTAGAAAGGAAGCTAAATCAAAGTTACCTTAATACCTATGATAGATATCTTGTAATAAACATCTATCCATCCATCCAAACATTCGCATTTATAATAAACTTATATAAAATGGCTAAAATAGTCACCTATGTTCGTCCTGTGGCAGCACCGACTAGTTTCGAGCCCATTCGCATTTATAATATTAGTAATATTCAATAACGAGTTGATTAGGAATGTGTTTTATAGTTAAATTATTATTTACGCGTTCTAAGTTACGTATGTTTGTCTTGTGGGAAATATACAAAAAAGAAAAGCTTCACTAATTTTGTAACATTGACCTCAATATGGAACCCGCTGTACTGTGAGTGACATTGATAAATCAGGCACGACAACGTGTTCCGACTAAATGAAAAATTTCTTGTAATCAAGACTTAAAAGGTTGCAGTTCTATTGTAATTTGGGCCAATTTCCAACGATTTGTTTGATTAAGTTTTCTAATTTATACGCTTTAAATATCTGTCAGACTTGTAATAAGTCGAATAATTTTGTCTAAATCTTAAGTCGCTTAGAAATATTATTTTTCAGACTGAATTTTATTGTTTATTTTTATTTAAAACATTTAAGAGCCCCCGCACACTAGAGACTTTCAGTCGCCCGATATAGGAGTCGATGTAATATGTGAACCTCAATATACACTATCAAACTATCGGGCGCTTAAAAGTCTAGTGTGCGGGGGCTCTTACCATTTTGGTTGTTCCAATTATCATCTTAGATCCCAAAATAAAATAAAAAACCAAAAAAGCTTTATTTATTTCAAAGTGCAATACCCTAGAGAGTAATTTATATACCAGCTTTTAAACAATGTTAACAACGTACAACATATATTTTCTTGTTACTCCAAGAAGTTAGTTGAACGTTATTTATCAGCTTAGAGTGAGGGCTGGCAATTGTCTACTTTATTTTTTAATTTATCTCTTAATCATTGACATAATCAGAATATCTATACATAGGATTATATTAAATGGGATTCAGTAAACAGTGGGTTTCTAAGACTAAAATTTCTGTATAAAAAATATCATCATTCCTGTAATTATCTTTAATAATTTTACCAGAAACCAATTTTTATTTACTAACAGTCTCCCTCGTGTCTTTCTTTCAGAATCATATGTACATAGGTGAAAAATAGTAATGTTATAGCTTTACACGTTTAATTAGCTATGAAATATAATAGTATACATATTTTCAAATTGTGTCGAAGTATTTTGGTGGAGAATTATGAACTAATTAGTTCACAGTAGTGTAAATTATTTTGACATATTAAATCTATGCATATTAATAAAATTTAAATGTCTATACTATCCAAAAAATTTCATAATCCGCACACATGATGTGTTTACGTTGCTGATGAGTAATAACTTAATTTTAAAATTTTTGTCTATCTGTCTGGCAGCATGACCGCATTCCTTCCTAGTAAGGTTTATAACGGCTGGATCGATTTTGACGGCAATTTGATAGCTTATGTACGTGATCATATTTTCGGCTACTTTTTTTAATTCTGCGCTGACGAAGTTGAGGGCGACAGCTAGTATGTTAGTAAAGCTAAATTACATACAAATCTAGACAATATTAAGGAGTTATCATAACTTAAGATTGTACAGCGTCATTAGTAATATCTGCGAACTGTCGAGCATCCGAGAGTCGTTTGCTATCGTCTTGAATACGCCAACATAATTTAAATGCTTGTACGTTTAAATTCTATTAAACCGTCTTTTAGGTATTTAAACATTGCTAATAGCATTCCTTTCTTTTTTTAATTTGGGTCGCTATTCTATGCACGTTTATTTTTAATCAAAACATAACTTGACTGTTCTGAGTTGTTTGATATTGACAAACGTTTTCTGAAATTTCTTTTATTATTAAAAATGTGAAACTCTGTATAAATAAGATATTATTGTTAAATCAAAGAAGTTAAACACTAAAATAATGTGTATGTTGTTATAAACTAAAGACTAATTCGAAATAATTAATCAATTGTTTTTGTAATCTACGAAATTAAAGATAATCTTTTATCTTTTTCAAATCGACTATTAAATGTTATTGTCTAATAGAAAAGAAATTCACAAACACATTCCCTTGCTCCCTTTGATATAATTTAAATAGACAAATTAATCAATGCCCGAATGTCACGACGAAAATATCGTAGCCTGTCGCTTTAACAAATAGCTTCACTCTACTCCTTACAACGAATTAGCTGCGATTTCATTAACATTACACATTTTTCGCTCCAATGAGCTCATGATAAATGTAGACACACTTTTATAATATTACACTAACTGCCACACTTAGTTGATATACGACTAAGGGCACCCTTTAGTTGTTTAGTAGTATTTTATATGAAACAAAGCAACTAGACCATAGTCAACCACACTGGCCCAGCGTGAATTGGTTGACTTCACATATATCTTTGCTACACTTCGCAAATATTGCACAAATATTCCACGATTTCCTTTACCTTAAGAACGTGGGATAAATATACATATATATCTAAGTCGAAAAAGACAATGGTATATGGCGGGATTCGAACCCACAACCTGTAGATTACAAGGCAAGTGGTGTAACCTCTGAGCCATCGACACTCTGTGTCACTCAAATCTTATCACAGAATTGTATCAATTGTGCGCAACACAATATATACCCGAAGTATAATATAATTTATAAGTAAATATATATTCTTATTAGTATAAGTTATTAGTTCCTGATGTAGTATATAAAGATACATAAAAAGCAGGTAAACAGGTAAACATACCCGTAAAAATATATGTAATGAAGATGCGTAGACGAATGGAGCTACGAGATAGATAAATATGCTAGACAGATCAAAGAACACGTTAGGATGTCTTGAGGGAAATTTAATCATGCAATAAGGTTGCAGATTCAAAGTAATGTATTTGATTTAACAGCAAAATGCATTAAGAAACTACCGTAATTTTTAAAGCAAATCGAGTTACGGACAATAATAATGTTCGATGAAATGAATAATCTTCATCGAACAAGAAAAATGTTGCCTATGGTCTAGTCACCCCTAACTTAGGGTAGGCTCCGAGCCCCTCGGTGGGGATGTATAGTGAGCTGATGATGATGATGATGAACAAGAAAAATCACATCAAGGTGCATCACATAATTATCTCTACAAATATAAACGATCTACTGAACCTCGTATAATAAAGAAATGGTTACTACAGTAATGTAAAATGTTACTCATACGTGTAAATTAGTATGGTTATTGGGGTGTAAAGTCATAAAACTTACTAATTTTATAAATGCAAATGTTTCGATGGATAGATGAATGGATGTTTGGAGGTATCTCCGGAACGGCCCAACGGATCTTTATGAAATTTGGCATAGATATAGAGCAAAGTCTGGACGAATGCGTAGACTACTTATAACTTTTTTGTTAATTTCGCGCGGATATGTTCGCGGGCAACATCTAGTGACAGATAAAACATTTGTATTAATGTAAGGTTACTGATAAAGTTTACGAAGTACGAATAAATTAAAATATAATTCGTCTGTTAAAGTACAGAGAGCAAAGTTAAGTTCGTGTAATTATAGACAATGAATAGACAACTGTCTGAAAAGTTGAGGATGCTGCGTTAATTTTGTTTGTAAATATCCAATTGCTCATTTATTTTTAATTCTATTCCTTACAGCACTCGAAGTTTGCAATCTGTTATTCTTGCTTTCTAACTATCAAATATTAACTACTTTATTATACTGAGGATGGATTTTCTCGTTTTTAGTACTTTTTCTACTCAGTTCAAAAGTTTGAATTTGGAACTTCGTTTCATCGGAAATTTAAACTAACGTTATCTCAACTTTGGTGTCAAGTAGGCTAAAAACAACTTAAATATGTATGAGGAATGTCTTAGAAAGTATCTTTAAATTTCTTTGTCTTTTTTTTAATTTTGTAACATGAAAGCGATTTGTATGATTAAGAAATATTTGCATGCAATTTGAGTGATTAAAATCTGACCAATATAAAAATGCGAAACTTTAGCTGGATGTTTGATAGAAGGTCCACGAGACCCGTTGATGCCTTGTGGAGATCACAACGCATCAACGGGTCTCGTGGATATATTAAGCTTAGTGTGGAAGAACGCTTAGGGCTACCCATCTTGCAGTTTTTTTGTTTAAATTCCGCACCTACGAAGTCACGGGCAAAAGCATCATATTTGAATCAATAATTTTTTTTTGAATATTAAATCTTTCTTCTTAAATTAATATTTACCTTTCAAAAGTATTTTCACAATCGCACGAGTATTTATGTATATTGTTATGTTTTTAACTTTCTTATACTTTAAGATAATTAAAATTAATATTTCTCTTCTCGGTAATATTTCCTTTGTTAAATACAAAGGTAGGAAGCGCTTTCGTGGGCGTTCTTGAGTGATCTTGGAATTATGTCTGGTTCTTTGTGCTTTTCTAACTGCATCTTATAGAAATCTTAAAATATTTAATTCAATTTATTTTCTTTAAAGAAATTTCTGAAGTTTGTATAAAATTAAAGTAGCGAGAACCAAAAAAGCTAACAAAGTTTTATCTTTTCAAATGAAGTCTTTTCAAAAGAAGAAAAAAAGAGTCTTGCCGAATCATCATTGCAAGGTCATCTTATTGAGAATTGTCAAATAAACTTTGTTTGTTTCTTTTCAGATTAATATCATCAGGTTATCAAGAGACAAATGAAAGTGAAATTGGAGTTTTAAAAATGATAGCAACAAAAAAACAAGACAATGACATTACGCCGCTGTGACAGTTTACCCGGCCGGCTTCGGGAGGCCCCAGTTTCGCTTGATTCCATACCAGCATCACCACCCAAAGCAAAACTACCAGACTCCAGCACCGATCCCGATTTTAACGACCCACCGAAACTAGAAGAAGTTATAGCAACATGGAAGTCACTTTATACAGACGTTGAAAAAATAACTAATGGCTTACCGAATAATATTGAATCGTGTAATGGCAAAGCAATCAACAGAGAAACTGTTACTCATAATGTCGTGTCAGAATCTGGGTCTAGTAAGAACGAAACACGGAGAAAACTTGTTTTTGATAAATCAAACGCTTGTAACGCAAAAGACAGCAATGCGAACAACTCAGTACATACCGATGCGGTTCAAACGAATCCAGTATACGGTACGAGTAAGCAACGGAGAAAGACTTTATTGGAACGCCTTCTCTCCTGGCGAACTTCGGAGTGCAACTGTCGTGAAAAGTTCACACCAAAACGGCCCACGCCTAGGCTAACAGCTGAAGAATTGTTATGTACATGTGGTGTTTCTCGAGTTAATTTCCAACAACGACAGAATAAGTATGCGGAACGAGGTCGCTCTAAAAGTGTTGGCTACGAAGCAGCTCGTGAAGTGACTCAATTTCGTCGGTTAGTGTTGTGCATTATGTGTTGTAGTAAGAAGTTATTTATCAACTGGCCCTCCAACATTGAATTCAAAAAAATATATCATTTTCACTTACATTGCATAATAATCTTAGTTAAATAATTTTAAGACTATTATGACATACTATGTTGGAATTGGAGGACGAGGCGATGATTGATTTCGACTACTTTTAATAGTGTGTTTGTGATTAGGTGTGCTAGTGCGGGTGCTACAGTGGGCATTGAAACGGCAGCTGCATTACGTGCGCGAGCAGCTCTGACGCTAGCTCGTCGCTACTACCCTGAAGGTGGTTGGGGTTGGACGATCACGGTCGTTGGGACATTGGTGCAAATAATCACACACGGATTGCAACTCGGCGGGGGCACGGGAGCTGTGGCCTGCACTGCCGCTGTCAAGTATCGTGTTCCGCCGCTTTACAGTTACGGTAAGTCTTCAAGATTTATCATTCATGACGTCATCTTTTTAGTGAATTGAATAGAAGTACAAAAAACTTGGAGTTTCTAGTTTTGTAAATTTAGGCCATGTATAAAATAATAATATTAATACGATTTATAGAAAGTACAGTGACGCCGCATAAATAATACCATAATAATGTATCATGAATGATAAGAAATATTTTGTACTGTAGAAATTCTGAAAATACATTTGGCAAATGATATTTGTCGCCACGAAAATGTGTTCTTTTTCTAAGAATTTTAACTATTCACATAAAATTTCTACGGAATTTCTAGAAAAATTTCATTGCTTACATTCAATTTATCAATTTGATCAAGGCATAATATGATTAAGTACCGATTTCTTATAAGTCTAAAACTAGCTGACGCCCGCGACTGCGTTCTGGCAAAAAAACTATGTGTTTTTCCTATGTTTTAAATTTCAGCGACATCCATGCTGCCGTTCTGGAGATACCTTTAATCCAAACATTCGCTTTTATTATTAGTAAGATAAGATGTTGTTGTTAATAAAGGGTGTAAAAAGGCAATAGATATCCCAGACTAGACAAGCAGTGTCAAGTATACGCGATATATTTTAGACATAAGATGCTATTGAAGCTACATTATTCAAGTTCTAAAGGAGGATTTTATCTTGAATAGCGGCGGAAGACATAATTTTCACGTTGCCTAATAATCGTATAAATAACGGTTTGTTAAGAAAAAGATACTTTAAGTAGTCTGAAAAGTTTTACTTGTTAGCGAACACAAATCAAATGTTACATTGTAAGTAGAATTCTTTTAAGATTATTTATTCCATTTATTCCATACTAGCTGTCGCCTGCGACTCCGTCCGCGTAAATATATAACTTAATTAGTATCCCATCCATCCATCCATCCACATCACATCCATCTAAAAATTCGCACTTGCAATATTAGTAATTTAATTAAAAAACAGCTCTTCAAGGCATAAATTCGAAATAAATAAAAAATAAAAAAGTATCCTACGTCCGCCTCCTGGCCTACCTTCTCACCAATTTTCAGCCATATCGGTAAAGCCGTTCTTGAGTTATAAATAGTGTAACTAACACGACTTTCTTTTATATATATATATAAAAGAAAGTCGTGTTAGTTACACTATATATATATAGATTTAGTATGACAAAGGTATTCGCATTTCAAAAAATAAAATAACTAAAATTAATTCTTCGTCAATTTAACACAAATACATAAATTTATAACCTTACAAAACGCAGCAATGAACGAACTTGTATTACTAATACCAAATATGAGTAATCCATTATTGTTGATTACGAACTAAAGAAGCTACATTAAGTGTCAAGCTTAGTGTGAATATAAATTCAGTTATATGTATTAAATTAAAAAGCGTCAATAGCCTAATGGTTAAGAGTACGGATTCCCGATCACGAGGTCGGGGGTTCGTATCCCGCCATTCGACTACTGTCGTTAACCATATCCTAGCATAAGCCAAGAGCTTAGTTGGAATGGTAAAAGAAATATTAGTAAGTTTACAAAAAAATCTGCTAATATTTTAAATAAATAAAAATAAAAAAAATAATCCGCATGTCATGTATTATTCATTGTCATTTAAACAATCAATGCCTTGTTATTTAAATGAAGGGACCAAAGATGGATAGGTAAAGGGATGTTAAAGAAAGTTTTGTCTCATTATTAAAATATTCTACCTGCTTACAGCCTTCACCTTTGAAGTTTGACACTCATATTTACTTATGAGTTTTCACTGCTGAAACTCAAACAAAAATTTGTCATCCCTCTCATTTTCATTGAAAAAAACAGATAAGGCGATATGTTTTTAAAACTCTATTTTGCATCCTCCTGTTATCTTACTATACATCGTACTTCTTACTATCTTACTAATATAATAAATGCGAATGTTAAGATGGTTGTATGGATTGGATTTTAGTTTGAAGCTATCTTCAGAACGGCTCAACGGATCACGATTAAATTTAGAACAGATGTAGAACATAGTCTAAAAGAACACGTAGGCTACTTACTAAGTTTTTTTTGCGTTGACGGAGTCGCGGGCGACAGCTAGTATGTGATAAAATCGACTCGGTTACTTAATAAGTCTTGATGTGATTACTTAACCAGCAATTGCAACTACTAAGTTATATGATTCAATTATTTTTAATTACATTTCCTTCAACGACGTGCCAGTTTTGGTAGAATTAATTTGAATATAACGTAAAGTGGAATAATATCACTTAAATGGGATCTATATAACTTATTCATGACATAAATCCTTATTTAGACTCAATTAAATGAACGTCCGTTAATGTTTATGGATTAAGGGAACATATAAACAACAATCATAAAGCCTTAATCTTCATTTAATGATTCCGAGATTTAATTTATTTACAAACTAGCTGTTGCCCGATACTTTGTCCGCGCAGAAAAAAAAACCTTTTTATTAGCATATGTGTTCTTCCAGAGTCTGTTCTATATCTATGGAAAATTTCAGAGAGATCCGTGCACCTGTTCTGGAGATACCGTCATACAAACATCCATCCATACATCTAAACATTCGAATTTATAATATTAGTAAGAAGTAAGAAATTGATTTAAATGTCATAATATTTATTAAGACATTAATAAGGCTACTACTGGTTGTTTGAGTCATGGGATTCCGCAGCCCGTGGTGCTCTATTTTTAATATAATATATTTTATATATTTTTATATGAAATGTACTATATTAAGAATAAGAAAAATAAATGAAGACTACTAATAGAGTAAGAAAGAAAATCATAAACACATTATAATTATAGAAACTAGCTTCGACAATTTTATGGTTAATTTTTAATTTATCAATGAATTTAAAAACTAATTTTATAGTTTACAGTTCTAATTTAGTGAGTCACATTTTCCCAGATAATAGAACATCTGTTGAATTTTAATTTCGTTTTATACAAAATTCAGAAGTTCCAACCACTCTTTGAGTATAATTACTTCGTATTATGTTTGTCCCAAAAATTATTTAATGTCAAAGTGAACTTTGTAAATTATTTAACGCTCCAGTTTTTATTAAGTCTTTGTTTTTAAAAATAAAAAACTGTTGTGCCATTTTTATTAATTTAAAAGTGTTCCTTCGGTTACGAAAAAACCGCAAATTGAATTAACAATTACTAAATTAATCTTATATTATGAATGCGAATGTTTGGATGTTTGTTTGAAGGTACATATCTCCAGAACGGCTAAACGTATCTCGATGAAATTTGGCATACTTATAGAACATAATATGGAAGAACACATAGGCTACTCACTTACTTACTCCGCTGGCGCATCGACCCAAAGTGGGTCTGGCCTCCGACACAAGAGATCGCCAAAGTCGCCTGTCTTGCGCCTTCTCCTGCCAGTCCATCGCTTGTAGCTCCCGCAGATCCAGCTCTACGGCGTCTCGCCAGCGGTACTTGGGCCGACCGACACATAGGCTACTAATTATGTTTATTTAATTCCAAGCTGACGGAGTCGCGGTTTAGCTAGTTAACACATAAATCAAATTTAAAAATATAGGTAAACTAAATATCACAATAAGTACGAGCATGTAAAGTTTAGAGTTCGTGATAGAAAAACTACAAAGATTGTTTTAAACAAAAATATTTTTTAAACATCTTTAAGTACTCTAGAGAATTTAAAATTCTCAACCTTTACTCAAGTAAACAATTTATTCAATAAAACCTTTTATAGACATAATTGCTATACCATTGGCATAATAGTTCAATTAACTCCCATAATGTTGAGAACAGTAACCGTTAATCTTCTTTTAATGAGATCTTTTTGTATAGTCTAAAGACCAATCACAGATTTTAACTAATATATTAATCTCTAGTAAAAATATTCGAAGTATGTTTCAGAACTTACTACCAACATAACACACATAAATACATACAGAGGAATTGATAACCTCCTTCTTTTTGAAGTCGGCTAAAAAGTTTATGTAAGATTTTAGTTTACTAAGTTGTTAATTGATACAGCACATAATAAATCCATGTCCTGAACTCAGAGTCCCTCAGCTACCCTTACTAAGTATTAATTAATAGACCAATTAAGATAAGTAATTACTCGACTTTCTAAAACAGCTTAAGTGGCTAATGTTCTTGGCTTATGCAGCATGCATCAATACGGTTACGTGAACATGATCTCGTTTTGGAATTTCTCCTTAAAAGTTTCAGGGATGTTTTTCTATCTATACTAATATATTAACAGGAAAGATTTGATTGTTTGTTTGCATTGAATTTGCTCCGAGAATATTGAATTGATTTAAACGGGAAAATGCCGCCAGCCTCTTGGGAACCCTACCGTGCGAACGCAGCGATTTGGCTTTTTATTTGGATTTTTATATTATTTAGTTTTATTTTTAGTTTGGTTTAGCTTTAGTATATAGTCTATTTAATATAGTATAAATTATTAGCTTATGTCTTAGTATAAATATACTAGCTGTCGCCCGCGACTCCGTCCGCGCGGGATTAAAAATAGATGTTGGCCGATTCTCAGACCTACTCAATATGCTCAAAAAATTTCATGAGAATCGGTCAGGCCGTTTCGGAGGAGTATGGGAACGAAAATAGTGACACGATAATTGAATATATAAGATTTTACTGTTGTCATTTTTTTACGATTAATTACATACATGAGGCCTTGTGTTACGAAGGTCGAGACCGCTGTAATGAACAGACCAATGACCGAGCCTACATTGATAGATGTCCCGGCTCACTGGCACGGAATTGTCTGTGACATATGATGCAGCAAATATTAATGGACATAGTATTTAGCGGCTACGTTAAATGTGTACATTATTAACTCTGCCGTAATAATAAGAACGGATTATACTGAAACTTGCTGTCGCCTCGGACTCCGTACGCGTGGAATTAAAAAAAAAAGATAATTAGTAGCATATGCGTTCATCCAGACTATGTTCTATATATATGTCAAATTTCATCGATATTCATGAAG